AGCAGCCTGCGCAGATCTTCAAAAGTTGGTAGAGATCTGCAGCCAGGTTGCCACTGAGTGGTGTGTGGGTGCATGTTGTTGTGGGGACGAGTCCGTGCAGGTCACACATTTCACCCCCTACTGCATCAGGGACTAGGATTGGTGAGTTGTGGTAATAATAGGAGTTGTAGAGACTGTGGGGGTGGTTCTGATGAGTCTAAGACCATCGGATTTGGTGGAGTGATTGAGGAGATATAACTTTTTCTTACTATTTTCATTCATTCATGCATGTGACTTTCCTTTTATATTTGTATTGGACTCTTCTGTGACAACTGTACAGACAGTTAGTGGAGAGTTAGACAGAGTATCAGCACCGTACTTGCAGGACCCACATCTACCTGAGAGATAGAGAGATGCCTACCCCCCCAGACCTGAGTCGCAAGCCTAGTTGGATAGACCCATTACAGCATCTGGGAATGTCCATGCACAGTTTGAAGAACATGATGCAACAGTGCCTAATGCAGGCCTATCAGTCACCTCAGTATGCCTTATTGGGGCAGGCAAAGGCATGTAAGGGACCCAGGAAGGTCTCCCACATGCATCAGAAGCACCAATCTGATTAAGATCAGCTGGATCAGTCATGGAATCATACACGCTTTTGTGTGCAGATCTGGCCTTATGCAGGCCAGTGGGAAAACCTGCCACCCTTCTAGACTCCATGTCATAGAAGGCAGATTGACCAGCTACTGCTGGTTTTGTTGGCATCTTGCCCCATGAGGGAGCCAACACTTCGCACAAGTGATCGGTGCATGCGAATAGCAACCCAGGTGAGCAAAGCACTAGAAGTCATGTTGAGCCAACACACCTGGGATACCAGCAATTGGTGTTGTACTTATTTCAGATGGCCCAGCTTGTCCCTCAATTAGGTGATTCCTTGTATTTGCCATCTTCTTCCCCATGTGTTTCATTACCATTTTCTCCTCACAAGCAGTTACATGTTTCTTCCAGCCCCAAGGGTCAAATTTTTTTTGGTCACTGAGCAGTAGAGGTTGGTGTGGTCATGTATGGATGATGATATATTAACAGATAAGATGTGTGTTTCTTTGTGATGGTGTTGTCCAGTTGATGTCAAAGGTGTCATATCCATCCATGGCCATCATCTTCCACTACCTGTCATATCCCGGAATCCCGACCCCGCGTACTCCCACCACATCACACCTTCCTAACAACTTCACCATCCCCTACACCTTGCCTCCCCACTCTTCAAGTCACCTTCCCTCCTGACTGTCTCAGCTCCGGTCTGGTTGCAGCACACCGAACCTTGGCCACTCCCATCCCAGAACCTCGGTCCTGAGTCGGAACATTCGGAGATCCCGGATTTGCTCCGATATCCTGATGGACCTCCGACATCCCGTGACATGCCCTTAAACCCTTCCTCCACCCATTTCGTTTATTTGAGTCACCCAACATCCTTCGGATATGCAACTCCGCTTTCGGAGCTACCCGCATCCTTCGGTGATCTCCCTCACGTTATCACTTATTAGTCATCTCCCATTCTTAGCACGACTACCTTCTTACTACCATTCAGTCGGCTAACCCCCCTTTATCCATTTGTCTTCCCCATTCATTTTCCGGCCTCCAACTCCGCCCTCCTTGGCCCGACACCTCGGTTCCCCGTTTTAGATATCGTTCGGACCCTTTTGGTGCCTCTCGGTATCATTCGGTACCTTTCGGTGTTTTCCCCATTTTGTCATTTTGGGCTTTGACTAAAGTCCTCCCCATCCTCCTTCAATAAATACATGTAGATTAGAACCTGTAGTTCCTCAGTTCTAATCTCGACTAAAATGCCACCCAAAGTCCCTCTGAGTGATTCCTGTCCCTGTTCTACAAGACACCTCAGACATAAGAAATACAAGGACTAACAGAGACGTAACGGAGGCACAGCACTCCCTCCGAGTCGCTGAGGCCGCGTCCTTCTTAGAGCCTCTTGTACCATCCAGCAGAACCGGGCTCCCTGAGAGGCTTCGGTTCATTACCGGAGCCCTCGGACCCCCCTCTAGTTGAGCCCCGCCTGCATTTGGACTCACGCATTTATCCCCCTCTTCCATAACCGAACGGGTTTTTGACACTACCTCTGAACCTTCCAGACTACCTCCACCCCTTCTTCACTAACCTTGGAGCTCCCGTATTCCACAATCACCTCCACCTCCCTCGATGGTCACCACCCCCTCTTTTCAATATATCACCTACACCTCCCTAAGTATGGAGCCCCAAAGGCTTCCAGACAGCTCCAACATCCGCTAGCACACTCCTGCCTCTGCTGGGCAATTCACTTGCTTGCCCTGCAAGCTCACCTTCGGGCCTATCCCTCCTTTCCGTTTCTGGGTTATCGCCCACCAGTCCGCTAACCCCATAACCCAACTTGTCGGTAATATTCAATTGGCTAATGTTTAACTCCATTAGCTCCACTCCACTTGGCCCCATCATTCATGGGCCCACCCTCGCTGTAACTATATATATACTTAACTTGTACATAGGTTACACCTCAGTGATAAAATCGACTAGAGTTTATCCTCCTTTAGTTCTCGTTGCCAGTAAGTAAATTAGGCATGGACATGTAACTTGGCACAGTGCTCCTGGCTTGAGTCGCTGAGGCCAAAGCCCTCCGCCATGGAGACAACTCCTTTGTCTCGATCCAGTCTCTAACAAGTTCTCTCATTTCTATATGTTGTACCTTATTGTATATTACCTTACAGCTATTGTCACTAGAGCAAGCAGTTATTCTGTTAGATTTGGCACAGTTATCTAGGTTGAGACAGTTGTAAGAGGTTGTGAGCATGGTAACTTGCATAGTGCAATTGGCGACCCGTGAGAATCTGTGACCCAACTTTGCTGATTGATTGAATGGAATATCAATCAGCATCTTATGATAATTGATGCATGTATATACAATGAATTAAGTTTGTTTTCACATCGGTATAGACTGTTGTGCTTGCTGTACTGTTAGAACACTCAAATAGTGTAGCGTCTAATACCTGAGGCTTTGAATGGTGGGGTGGCGGTGTTTCCCGTTTAAGCACATTCATACCCCATCACCATCACCAATACATCACATGGCCACATGAGAAATGGGACACCACAGATGAGCAGCAAGCAAAGTTTCCATGATTGTTACAGGAATGGGTTCCAGGGAACCCAACCTGAGCCGTTCTGCTCACAGACAGAGGTGGCTGTGTAACCATTGAGGGGAGAGCAGGAGATCTGAGGCCAGGTGGGCTAACAGTAACTTGGCACTCCAAGGAGCGTACCGGCAGCGGGTATAGTGGGGGCTTCTTGAGGGAGCCACCTAACAGTCGGCTAGCGGTGACTTGGTGCTCATGTGAGTGTACCGGTAGCGTGGGTAGTTGGCACTCCTTGAGGGAGTAGCCCAGTGTTTGACTATCGGTTACTTGGCACTCAGGGGAGCGTACCAGTAGTGGGATTTGTTGGGACAGGCAGGTTGGTTGACCAGTGGGCGGTAGTGAGTGACCATGGGAATTTGGGCCTGCAGGTGCATGGCCAGGCATCCTGGGGCTGCCTGAGTCACTTCTCCCTCCCAAGAAGGGAGGAAGGGTTGTAGGACCCAGTAGGGTACTACAGGAAGGGTAGGAATGGGAGCTCAACCACCCAGTGGGGGGTGGGAACAGGAAGGGTGAGGTCCGGTGTCTGAGCACTCACCAGGCCATTGAGGTTTTCTCACAGATTGTAAGAATATCAATGTAGACATCGATATGGACCAAGTCAGATGTTACAGAGAAGGCTTACAGTGTTGGCACAATGGTGTGGTGTCACGACCCGGCGTTCCCTGGGGTCAGACGACCTCCTCCCCAACCTTCTCCCACGCCCGAACACTCCCTGCACACTCCGCTCGCCACCCATCACCGTCTCACCCCTTCCCACCACCTCTCCACAACCCCTCTCCTAATTGTCGTTGAATGACCTAGCGGCGCAGTGCACAGCAACCTGTTGTCCCATGTTTCACCGCACCTTGTTATCTCATGGCAAAGGTCATGTTTGACCTTTGCTGTCTTGAACACGTGCTTCTTGTTTGTTTTGCTCCTTCTTTTCTCCGCCCGCAATCTCCGTGAGATCTGGCAACTTATTCCCTATTCAGTTCCCTAGCACTTATATACAGCTTGTAACTAATGCTTGTACTGTAGTTCAAAATCAACTAGAAATTCACCCCTAAGCTTACTTCTGTTCCCTGTAAGACCTCCAACCTTCTGAAGTATCGGGACCACATCGAGAACGAGGCACAACGCTCCTCCTCAAGTCGTTGAAGCCAAAATCCCGGCTCACTTGCCTAAGTAGCCTCGGCCTCAAGATCAGTGGGGTTATCCCTCGCTAAAGCTCGGTCATGTGTAGGATGCCTGTACCACTAGCAGGCAACGTTCGGTCACCTACAGCTACCATCGGCAAAGCTTCCCACGGTTCTGACATGTGGCAGTTACAATCGCAGTACAAGGTTTTGTGGGTTATGTATTCGATAAGGAAAGACATTTTTCGGCATCTGCCTTACACATCATATGACTTCTAACTATCTAATATAAAAGTCACAATGGTCAAGGGAAGTCCCTTGAAACTCAACAAATTCCCCAGCCAGCACCAAAACCCAGTGGAAAAGCTTGGCATGGGGTTTGACAATGAAATAAAGGTGCAGGGACCAAAGGTTTGATTGTTCATAGTCACGGACCATAAGATTCTAGGCCCATTCCTATAGCAGCGATGCTTCCTTTGTCCATGTGAATGATCGCAATTTTGGTTCACATGACCCAATATGTTATTTGACAGTATCCTGTACTGACATGACCAACAGCCAGTCACACATCACACGAAGGTCTTGGATTGAATTAAACATCAACACAACTGAATTGATTGGGTGCCTCCGGCAATTGCCGGAGGCCGTGGGAACCGGTTGTTGGTCGTGTGAGTACAGTAGTATGAATTTATTGTTATATAGTATGAGTTGATCGCCGACGCGAATGCCCACCACCCACGAGCCAAAGAAGATTTTGTTTGCACTGTCTACTATCATTCACTGCACCATCCCATCAAATGCCATATCCAAAAATACCGAGCCCGAAACCATTCTTTTTGGTGTCATTGCCACTTGTGATACCCAGGGACACGATGCTACGCTAGAGCCGACTTATTTTAGAAGTTTGACGCCATATATTGAAATCGTGGACTTGGCTGCAATCTGCGCAGTGGTGGGTCGCATCCAAATTGGCACCGCAAATCCTCAATGGGCGATAGTTGACCGGAGTGGTTCCTGGGCTCGCACCGCTTTCATAGATGACTTACTAACTCCAGATGCTCTCCAACAAGACGAACTCTGACGAGAATCCATTGTGTATGCTTAGGATACCTAACTCTAAGTCAAATTTACATCTAGCTTCCGAATTGCAACTTTTTGTCTGGGTCTACCATAAGATAAAAATCCGGCTTTGTTCCAACTCCAGCGAACCGTGGAACCGGTCTGTAAAAGATCAGGATAAAAATCCCATTCCACTCACCCCGAAGCAAGCTGAAGGTGGCAGTCCGCGAAGTTACATGATAACCGACAATGTTTTGTTTCCAATAATCGCACAACGGTCAGGACCCTTCGCAAAATCCTGACCTATCACGTTACAATCACTAGCTTCTCTCAGTGCCTTCCATGGCCCGCGACTATTTCGTCAGGCTGATCGGGCTCAAATTGTCCATTGAGTAGCGGTGATGCAGCTGTTAGAGGCTTCACCGACACATAGACCAGGTTTTGAGGTATGCCGTCAGCCATCAGGTTGTATATTGTGCTGATACACTACATAAGGCTCTTTGGACATCCTCTCAGTCTTCCCTGTGCTCTTACCTGTTGGCCAATGAAGTTCTCAACCACCGTCATTTCCATCGCTATATTGGTTTCCACCACCACAACAGCCCTTGCTGCCTCCGTTCGTACGCCGAAGGGCCCAGTAAAGCCTGACTCGTACATTATGTATGTCCCACACACAGGCATAGCATAATACTGGCCGACTCATTACTTAGTGTGCTGAAATCCGGTGAAAATGTGGAACGTCATATCGAGGATATTGGTCGGATATCCGCCCGAAGCCCTGGGTCAAAATTTTTACCCACCTACCGGTATGAAAGTAAGTTGATATTGGGGAATTTCCCCCGAAGATAGGCTAACTTTCGTAGTCCTGAATGGCTACTCCGCATACGCAACTGGAGCAACCCTTACTCACATTCTCAGTTGCCCCGAAGTTGACTACATCGAAGCTGACGGCATAACATCCATTTGCGATGACCTCCATGAAGCAAATGAGGGGGGTGCGACAGAATTCAACGATGTCCCAGTCGAAATAAGGGATTACTCAGGTCACCGCGACGGATTTGGAGTGGATATTTTTTTTGTTAGATACGGGTATCAAGACTGATGCACCCTACTTTGAGGGAAATGCATTTTTGGGTACTGTGCGTATCCCTTGCGCAATCTGTCATATATGTTCACTCATACCAGTTTGCGAGTGCAGCCCTTTGGTTACCCCAACAGCCGGGATGAGCACGGTCATGGCACAGCGATCGCCGCGAGAGTAGTGGGGAACGGGTTTGGTATGGCGACTGCGGCCAATATTGTTGCGGTTAAGGTTCTCTCCGATCAAGGCGTGGGATTTGCAACCGACCTAATCGCAGGCATCATCTACGCTTTCGCACAATTTCAATTGACTGGTCGTCATTCCATGGCTTTGGTAATCCCCAACTTCCGTGGCGATTCGGCCGTTGATGCAGCTGTCAGAGCTGTCATCTCCCTTGGTTTGCACGTTGTAGTCGCTGCAGGGAACAATGGGGAGGATGCAGTGATGTGGAGTCCTGCATCCGTTGTTCAAGCTATCACCATTGGCGCTATCGATTGTTCAAACAAGATGGCATCGTTCTCCAACCACGGATTTCTCGTCGATGCTTTCGCCCCGGGGGTTGATATTGCATGTCCTTCGATCCACGGCCCGGACCCGTGGGCGACCACGCTTCAGAGCGGCACTGGTTTGTCAGCCGCGCACGCCACGGCTGAGTTAGCCATTGCTTTAGGTCACAACCCTAATCCAGTGTCTCCTACCGACCTGAGCGCTGCCCTAACGGGCCATGCTGTCGGGGACGTTACGGGGCAGCCAAAGGGAACTACGAAGTTGAGGACACAACTTTGGTGGCAGTGGTAGTTCTGATTCTATTGGAGTAGAACAGTGTTGCATGACCTGCTTCACAGTCTTTCCCCCTTACTTCGCCCGCTTCTTGTACTCAGTCAATTATGTGTTTGCTGTTAATTCCATTCGGCCCAAATTCCTGCTACTCTGTTCCAGGTCCTGCAAACTTTTCGGTCTCCATCACTGAGCAACTTTCTCCACTTATACCGGACAATAAGGGTGCCAAAGTTCATGGTGAACCGGTTCTAACCGTGAACCGAATCCTCCATTCGGAACTAGTTTTTTGGTTCAGGTTTCTAACTCTGTGAAGTGGGTTCTAACCGAACCTAGGACTCATAGCAGATTGGGTGGGATCAAATTCGGATCAGAGTGGTGGGGCCCAACTGGGTACCCATTTTGTGTTGCTAGTAAGCCTACCAGAATGGCTGCGCCGCCCTGACCTTTGCTTGTGATGGGGATTTTTACATAGTCAAATCACCTTGCTCAGCCGGGGGCGGGGCCCAATTGGGTTCCCCTGCTGGCCCCCCATTACATGTTTCTGTGATTCCACTGTCACGTTTCATCAAATTTCCTTTCAGCTCAAGGTCATAATTATAACGGGTCACGCGTAGTTTGCTGCGCATTTGCCAATACACTCTGGGCCACTCACTGTGTTTAAGCCAAAAATTTCCACAGCCCTTTCCGCGATGGAAAATCAAAGCCTGTTTATCCAACAGCGGAAATGTCGATGGAAAATTGATGCGTGCTGTCCGACAGTGGAAATGGCGGGGAAACCATGTGTCCCCAATTTCTCCATGCAATCCGCCCGCTTTCCCTCAAGACTTTGCATCAAATCCTCTGATAAATCACCTGGGCAACGCGTCTGTGTTATTTGTTGGCATTTGTTTGTAAATGTTGTTGTTCCCTTTCGATGTTCAACTTAGCTGGAACGGAACATCCAAAGGGGGCATGGTGTACTTGCTCTTTCGCTGCGAACTCAGCAGGCTCTGGCTGGACTTCTACTCTGGGTTACTTGGGTTGTCATATCTTTCGTGGCTCTCTGTGCCATTATTCTAGATGTACGGGGTTGGACACATTATGTTCAACATCCAGGGCCATCTTGTGGTCTCTTCTCTAGTGGACTAGTCTCTGAGTCCATTGAGCTAATCTCTGGCGGTTTGTCCTGTGGACTCTTCAACCCTGCTTGCTATGTGGGTTTTTGCTCTATGGTTCACCAATGAGTTATGCATTGCCATCTGTACCAGGACAGCGTTGGGTTGATATCTTCGTATGTTCATCTGTTCTCCAACCATCTGGTATATAGGACTCCCACTAACAAGTACCACCTTATCCAGTGTTCTCCCCTCTCTCCCTCTCGCTTCGGGCGATGATATGATGTATATTCACTTCCCAACTCCCCATGTCTTATTAATTGTACTTGTTGTCTGCCACAAAACTGATGCTAGATAACGCTACAGTTGTGTGTGAAGGTGTGGAAGGTGTGGAAGGAAATTTCTAGTTTGTTTTCTTGTATGTACATCGAGAAATATATATGTGCTTTCCAGACGTGGATTGGACAAGAAAATCAATATAATGGATTATCAGCCACCACCAAATCCCCATCATTTCCCGGCCTCAACCATGGTAAAGTGACGCTCAATCCGCCAGCGGACAGAACCAATATCCGCTGTGGGAAATTGCGTGGAAATCCGGTTATCCCCACCATTTCCACAGCGGAAATTTTTGGCTTAAACGCAGTGACTTTGGCCGTCTCCCGCTACAACCCTAGTACCTGATTAGCTCTGTTGGAAACTGTGCTTTCCAGATGTGGATTACTTAGATTGGAAATCAATATTGATATATTAACAGCCACCCCCAAATCCCCGTTATTTCCTGCCCAGTAAGTCGACCCCAATCTGCTGGCGGACAGAGCGAATATCCGAAATGGGAAATGTCGCGGAAATCGCATTGTCCCCGTGTAATCAGGATCGAACAACACCACAATTGGCTACATCGCTCAATGGTCTATATTCCACTCTCTCTAAACTTCGGATGGCATTCCGAGGCGCTCCCTTTCATTGAAGAAAGCGCGAAACTCGCGCCAGTTAGTTGCTGTACGTTCATATACACCAGGTTTGGCTGCATCGTTCAACTATCTATCCAGTGCTCTTTCCAAACTCGGCCGGCACTCTGGAGCGCTTCCAAATTTGTTGAAAAAATGTCAACCTCTACCGTCAGCTAGTTGCAATTCATCCGGGGTCGTCTTTGGGTGTGTGACTCACAAATCGATACTTGGACGGCTCTCCGAGGCTTTCATTCATTGAGGAACGCATCAAACTAAGGCGCCAGCTAGTCTCCGTTCATCCAGGGTCATACATTCCAGATTTGGCTGCATCGCTCGATAAGCTGTCTTCACCCTTGACACACTCGGACGGCTCTCCGAAGCGCTCTCGTTTATTGAATGGGTCAAGCTCCGGCGCGAGCTTGTTACAGTCCGACGCTCCGAAGCGCTCTCATTTAAGTTGTCAAACTCCGGCGCCAGCTAGCCACAGTTCATCCAGGATCACACACACGATATTTGGTTATCTCACTCATCAAACTCTCTGGCGCCCTCTCCAAACTTGGACGGCACACAGAAGCACGTTCGTTGGAGACAGCGTCAGCCAGTCGCCGCTTGTCTGGCATCATATACAGACGATTGAGGAAAGCGTCGAGCTCTGGCGCCAACTTGTTGTACTTGGTCTTGAGTTGTATACACCGAAACTGGCACGATCCCTCTACAACTTACACTCCGCTCTCTCCGATCTCGAATGGGATTCCGAGGCACTCCCGTATATTGAAGAGTGCGTCGGACTTTATCGCCAGCTGGATGCTGCTCGTCCGGGATCAAACACATTATATTTGGACATATCACTTGACGATCTACGCAACACCCTGTCCAATCTCGGACGCGATTCCGAAGCATCGATGGTCGGTCGTTGAACGCATACATTATGTTACCACCCTTCTTCCTTTGTGCGCATGCGGCAGGCAAGAACCCGATGGTGGGTTCGAAACGAAAGAATTAATGGAAGAGGTGTATGGTTAGGCATCCGGCGTCGATTTTTCTTCCACAACGGACGATTCCAATGTTTAAAAGTTCGAATATTGGGATCGTTCACGTCGCGTCCTTAAATCACTCGGCCGCCTCATAGGCCTCCTATCAACCAAGTCGAGACGCGACCCTATCTCGGACTTTGGAAACGATCTTCAATCAGTATTCGTCAACACAGCGTGGATTTTCTTGCCGGAACTTCAAACCTTTGGTTCAATTGCCAGGTGGGCGCGCATCACGACTGTCGTATCGCATAACCCTGCAACTACTTTTTCCATCCTAGTGCTTACCTGACTTTTGCTCTCAGTTACACCTCGGACAACCAGGGTTAGGTGGAACAAAGCGGTTACATTCCATTATTGTGTATAAGGGCCACCGAATTCATGTATGGGTATCCGAAGAAGTGCGCATCGTAAATACACCTTAATTAGAGCACCATCCCATCCCTCCCTCATCAATAAGGGGCTCGCTGAGAAAGCGTTATTTGGTTCGAATGGATGTTGTATGTAGAGACGACGTTATGGAGAAACACATCCCCACTAGGGAAAAGGTAAAAAAAAAAAAAGAGTTGATCTGAGCAGTTTTGTTCTAGTGAGTGAGTGAGTGAGGACCTACAGGACGAACGTGTTTCCAGGACCTCCATCCTTGAATACCCCACGTTGAAAAGTTTCTTTTCATTGGTGTGCTTAACGCCAGTAGGAACCACATACCTGAGTACCAGATATACAAATATCCTCGCCGTTCCCATCCTTTGATCCAGTGGGAACAACCTGGTCCCTTGCATCAATGCTGAAAGCCTTGCTCCCGATTTTTACCGAGAACTCTGGAACTTTTGCGTTGCAATGGACATAATATACCCCGTCGCTAGCCACGTACGTAGCCGGTGGGGAGAATTTGGAGTTGTATGCCCTTGCGATATGGGTGGGGAGGAAGTTGAGTGTAGTCCCCGTATCAAGAATCGTAGCGTTGGAGCTGGTCTTAAGGGCAGATGAACCCGGGAAGATGTACGAGTCGATCTCGACCGTCCAGAAGAAATACTTGGGCGTTCCTTGGGTATCAACTAAAACAGGAACCGTAACGGTGGGATAGGTTGTGGGGACTGGAACGTAACCACCGAATCCCAAGTATCCCAATTTCGGATCATAGGTGGGACTTGACCTGGCGGAAAATGTGCCGCGGTTAAGTGCGATAGAGAAGTCTAAAAATCGTCGATTTCCCATCAGCACGCGCAAGACATGAACAATTGCAACATCATTGCTACGACGGAGGCCCGACAACCGATACTTACAAGGATGAGGAACCGCACTTTGTTTGACGGCCGAGAAGAATAACGGGTCATAAATAACTTGATCCCCAGTCTTCCTATCGTGGACGCTAGTGAGGCCTGGATATGCAAGGCCCAGGAGACCTGTGTTGATTTCGTCGCCGTGCCACGACGCATGCGTGACAAGACCAATCTCCTGATGCGTCACGGTCATCCCGCCAACCGACACAGTATCGTATCCAACATTGCCAACCATAAAACCACCATCACTATATGAAATGTTGAAATCGACGTCGGCATACGGCTCGAACGTAGAAGACTTGGACGGGTCAAATCCTTCGCTACCAAATCCGCATTCAGACGGAGATTGGGACTCTCCGCCGCTCGTCATGTTGAAGCATTTGAAGCCTTTCATGGCAACCCAAGTGTCGGAACTGTTTTTTTTTTTTAAATTAAAAAAAAAAAAGAAAAACAATGAACACAGATTCGCTCCTTCGGGAACTACGCGTGCTAAGTGGACTTGCCTTCCAGTGTCAACGATAAGGGAGAAATTCTGTCCTCCAATAGTGACGTTCGCTAGGTACTCCTGATCGAGACTGGATCCAGCTAAGCTAGTCGTCCAAAAATGGTCCGGTAAATTGCGGCAGATTCCCTCAACAAGCTGTTTCTTATACATAGACCGAGGCTGAGAGACTAGGGGAAGCAATTTGCTTGCGGGAGGAATGATGGAGTCCAGGGAAGCACTAGGAGATGATGCACGGACAAGCTCCGAGTCGGTTGGGCTCGCAGCGACAAATGTGGCGAGGAGCAAGACGGTGAGCAAAACCATCGTTGCGGAAGGCGGGATCACTAGTAACTAGGCGTGCTAACCATTGGGGAGGTGGGGGACTGTTTTTGTAGTCCTCCACAGCAAGGACTGGTAGGGTGGGTGCCAAGCAGAACGCGTCAACATCCCACAGGCTCAGGGTCGAAAGGCGTCAGCATCAATATGGCACCAAGTGGAGCCATGGCTGAGATGTAAATGATGTAATGATGTGTCAATCTGTCTGACGAGCGACCGTGGGAAGTTCGATCCATTCCCACCCGGAAATTAGGAAGACTGGACTTTTTTTTTTGGTGGAACCGCCCGTAGCTTTCGCTGGGTATGTAGGTTAACTACCTGGGGGTTTGAAGGTGGGGTATCCCCGGGGAAGAGGTATTTGCTAGAGTCTGGGTTTCTTGTTTGGTTTGCGTTGGGGCTGCTTCGTGAGACTCCACCGCGGTTTACTTACGCACTAATTCGGGACGTCCCGTGAGTGTGGCTTTTAGCCAGTTCTCAGGTAGTCTGCACTTCCACTCAGTAGGTTTGAGCACTAATTTTTCCGGGAGGGCTTTGGTGCCGTGGGAAGACTGGACTTTGATCAATCCTATCATTACACGCTTGCATTTTGGACACTCTTGGTATTGGAAACGTAGCGTAGGACGCTCGGTTTCGTGATTTGTGGACTTTCTTTGATGACCTAGCTGTCACGAACCTATAAAAAGGCAATTCAACTCGGCAAGGTGAGCAGTTGCAGCGCTCATCGATGCCTCGACTTCAAACAACTTTTGGGACTGCAGCTCTTTATCGCCAGTGATGTCGTCGTGCAACTTTGAGGGGAATTACATTGTCATCGGGGGTTGTGCAATCAAGGGCTCGGAGATACAACTCAGAAGCTGTCCAGGATGTTCCTCTCTCCTCTTTAATAGGCTCGTTCTTCTGACGAAACGCGCTTCCACTTTCCATTCAATAATTTGATAAATGTCTCGATTACTCTTAGCCGCTCCGAAAGATTTCGCCACTTTGCCCATTGTCGCGAAAGAACTACCCCCCTTCACGCTCTCTCATAACAAATCCTAAACGATGAAAGCTTACTGGCAAGCTTCAAAGATCTGTCTGAGGATGATGCTGTTCACATTTTCATGCGTTTCGATTGGCACACTGGGTTTAACGAAGAATCTTTTGCTCAAAAGCCCCGAGGCGCAACGCCCACTCCCTGGTGGTCCCGTTGCTTTAGAGACACTGAGGATCTTTGCTGGCCGATTTCACCTCAGAACTAGGAGCCAGAGATAGACAGGATCGCAGCGGAAAGAGTCTACAAAACCCGAGATATCATTAATAAGATTCTACATGAGGTCAAGCTAGCTCAAAACGAGTGGGTATTTCTCGCATATATTTTGCGTGTTGTTACGATGTTGAAGGCTCATTTTTGGGTGGTGATCGCTCAAGACATCTACACGAAGATCATGTTGCACTGGCTCCACATACATCAAACTCCCCTGCTAGAGTTGAAGTCGGACGCCCGGATCAGGATCCATGTCTTTCCTGGCGATTTGTTGGTCCTTCCAGCAGGTATTTACCACCGCTTCACACTGGATGAAAGCAATGCCATCAAAACATTGCGCCTTTTCAAGGTGAGAGAATCCAAGGATTTTTGCGATGGACGTGTATGACGACTGCTGAGTCTAATAACGATAGGATGAACCAAAGTGGACCGATTTGAGGACACAGATATCAATCCCTTCGGGGTCAAATACGTTCAGGATGAGCTTCTGTGCTGCCAGAATGACTGTAGAAACTATTACTTGCAAACTGAGAATTGTATATGCATCGCCTACCTCTTAAGTAACGAATCAATCGACGTATGATCAAGCCCCGGTTCTTTCGCGTGCGCGCGCTCCTCCAATAAGTTCCCTTCCTCTGATATTCTATCCCGAATAACAAGAACCTGAGCATAGACGGATCATACTCCACGCAGTAGCGTCTGGACGTTTATGACGGAAGATAAGATAATACTGGTGTGAGAGGACGCACAAAAATTCTCACATATAACTGATCATACGTCATTGACACCAAACACAGATGAGTGGCTCGAAGAGGGGAGTTCGTGGCCCTGGCATGACTTAGAAGACCGTCGTCCAGCGTTGCGACACTCGAAGATCGAGAGGGAACAACTTCAATTTTACATATTGCTGTCAAACTGGGTTCGACGCTGAGGAAAAGCGTATTGGACCCTACAAATAGGGCGAATAAAAGCGCGAGAGGCGCTTTAGCAACCCGAGCTCGGGGATCGAGCCGAGCCCCTTTCAAGGGTGGCCAAGAGAAGCTTATGATTGTGGGAATTTGAATACTTACATAACGCAGTTCATCCTTTTTGGCGCTTAAAAAAAGAAAAAGAAATGGTTTATTGGCTTGATGGCCGAGACCTCCCTTTGAAAGAAATCCTTCCACGTCGGCCCCAGTACTACGTCTCCGTTTCGCGCGACGAGGAACTCAGGGATGTGGTTCGTGCTGTTAGGACGCAAGCGAATAATCTTCGAAACGCGATTAGCAATAACGACTATTTGCAATGGTTGACGTCGGCGAGGGAATACATAGAGTGGGTCGTCTGGGTCTCGCGACGATATGCACTTTGGGGTTACGAGGATAAGGTCAAGGGGTTCAGTACCTGCGTCGAGGTCTTTTCATGGCTGGACAACATCCAATCCAATTGGTCCGCACGTATCTCCAAAGAAACGTTTGACATTGCTCGTCAACGTTATACCGCATCCTTACCCATCGGTACTGTTTCCCCTCCATCTATGCGCACTAAATCTTTACCCAAGGCTACGGAGTGGGAGCAGGAGCGTGAACGCGAACATGACGGCGAGCCCGTTCCTGATACTCCTGCCGCACTTCCATCATCATCATCCTCATCCCCTCCAAAACCAATGGAGACACCAAAAAAGCCCTCAAAGGCTGGTCATAGACGCTCCTCCTCCACTCCTTGCGCAGATGCTCCGAAATCCTCACCAGAAAGGATAAAGATTCCTGTTACGAAAGCATCAATCCACGCAGTCCCTCGACGTCGTTCAACTTCAACTCATCCTGGAGAGAAATCCTCCACTTCCAGACCCTTTTCTCTATCGCCCCTCGAAGAAGCCGAGACTTCAAAAAAGGAAAAATTCCACAAACGGCGTTCCAAAGACCTTCCACTACCACAACAACCAACAACGGACCTCTCTCCAACGTCCCCATCAGCTCCATCAGATAAGAAGAAGAGACTGGAGCGTGCGTCGTCGTCCAAATCGCCTCAGGAAATCTCAGCAGCGCGGAAATCGAGAACTGTTCTACGTATGCCTGGGTATCGCGTTGTAACTGGGGATGGCGGTGATGACGAGATTCTAGTGCTGAGGATGTAGGAAGTGCGAAGGGGAAAAGAGTGTGAGGGAGAAAGAGAGAGAGGGGTGAGGGAGGTGATTTTATATTCGGCTATTTACATAAGGGGTTTTTCATGATCAGGGCTTTGTTTCCACCGTCATAATTGTTGCAGTAATCATGCATATAATTCCAGGGCCAAATTCATAGCTAATACAAGATATTCATGATGCGATTCTCCCCCCTCCTTACTGAGCTAACTTTCCGGAACGTAACTATTGGCCATGCTTAATGTCACTGGCTCGTCGATCGTACCTGAGCTCAGACCACAGCATGAAACACCGACCCCCCGCGAAATTAACATTCTACTGAAAACTGCACGGCTGCATGTGGTCATTGAACCATTTGAAGGCAGAGCGATCGTATAGTGACCATGGGCCGTGGGACGAGGAGGACGTAAGAGCAACTCGTCGCCTACGGACACAGGAGTCCAGGGTGAGAAATAGAATTTTATTTCGAAACCAGCTGGATCTAAAAACACGCTCTGGGAGTGAACCGTTATCGGATCCGCTCGCGGTGGTATCTGAGACCCAATCGATTTGGTCGGGGTTTTGCCGTAACTGCCTTGCACGCGATCGATTCTCGTGTAATTCACAACCCAATGAAATCTCGACAAGCGTAATGGGTACCTCCAGAGTTCAATGTCCAGTATATATAATGTTATGCCAGCATTGTGTGTGAACTGTTGTTCCCATTGGCGGTGGCTATTCGGAATCCACAGTAGTAAATACATGATTTCGCGCTTGAGTATAATAAACCTCAACTAGTTTTCGCAGCTCAAGCGGATAGCGCATCGAGAGCCCCAGAAGTATTTCCGAACTATTGCCCGAATGGCCGCCGGTTCTCGTTAGGCAGGACTCCAGCCTCTATGACTTCACTCCTTCCTCGAGCTAACTTTTGATGGCTCCGGCTAGGAGCTGGATAACCAGGTAGGAATCAAGCACGTTGTCAGCATGCTCGTGGTTGGAGTTCGAGTCAGTTGGGTTGTCGGGGGTTCCGCAGCCGTTCGATTCTTATATAACCCACAAGCAGTAATCGAATAGCATGACCCCAAGCTGTCCAAGTCTGCAGGGATAGAGTCTCCGCTTGCGTGGGTATCTCCAGAGTCCGATATCCAGTATGAGTCTCAGTTAGGTTTTCGCAGCTCAAGCTGATATCGCGATGGGGCTTCGGGAGCCCCAGCTAGCAGCAACCCTCCCCCTGGAACTTTATCGATCGGCAAAAAGGGGTAATTGGCGCGGCCGAGCCTCTGCCGGTTCTTTTCCCCCTCCCACACTCTTGGTTAGGAGCTCGAGATTTTTTTTTTCCAGAGTTCCGTCATACAGTAATTGTTAGAGCGTCATGGATACAATCCAGATTCATGGCTACTGTAATACATAAACTCCCAACAATCCAACAATATTATTCCTGACACAATGACATGATCGATCGCTCTTGAACCAAACATGTGACTATCCAACGCCAATTGAATCGGATTGTTAGTCCCCACGTTGTCAGCACAGTGAATGGATGAACAGTGTCACCCTACCCAAGTCACTGAAATCCCTGGGGATATCGTACCCACTTGGGTACCTCCAGAATTCAACCTTCAGCGTGACCCTCAACTCCCTTTCGCAGCTCAAGCCGACAGTGCTTTGAGAGCCCCAGCAGCACTGGCATTGGCAGCAGCCCCTCCGAACTTTTATCGATCAGCAAAGTGGTACGCCTTTTGGTTGGCCACCATCCCCTTCATTCTGAGAGTAACTGTTTTTTTGGTAGGTCCCCGGATGGTTCGTGCGCGTTAACTGCAGACGAATCCATAACGTGTAGAATCCACAGGCTGTGAATTGTTCTTCCTTCACATACAGCACTGAGTTGAATATCTGACCACTTGTTCGCGTTTAGCAAAGCTACCGATGGAGTGACTTCATTAGGTTCGACTATTGTCTCTTTCTTTACCCTATTCCTTATTTTTGAAAATTATCATCGCAGATACAACATGTACTCTTCCCCAACCGGCTCCCATTCTGGATGGAGTATGGTACCCAGGAGCATCGATACAAAGCCCCGAAACCTTCTGCTTCGTGGCGTCCGTTCGGAACTGCCCCGTGAAACTTCTTGACGCCTCATCCGGTAGGGTATATCGATTCTTTTCTCTGTCCCCCCCCCGGAATGTGTTACCATCACGAAAAACTCAGCACTTACTCGAATCCCCCCCCTCCCGGATTAGTAGTTACGAGCTTCGTATCGAATCGTGGATCATCGTGAACGCTTCGTCGCGCCTCACAGTATGGCATTCGATCCTACGATGACAAAGTATGTTTCTTGTTCGTCACAAAAATTCATTCGCTCCGTGGGTCCGTTTGGGGGGCGGGAAGGGGACTCTCTAATGCCTAATCTAATTTTTAAGGTTATACTGCGGCTGCGTCGACTTTATCGAAATATTTGACCTTCAGCAACCTGGGGATGGCGTTCGTCTCGCTACCACCCCATCAAAGAAGAGTCGCGACGGCTTGAAAGGTATGGATTAAAGAGTTTTATGTAGGCAAAAAAAAAAAAAACACGGTTAACGCAACGTGTATCCATCCATATAAAGGCATCATCTCAGCTATATCCTTCTGTTCCGATTATAGTGGTCTCTACGCTGCTGCAACTTACTCCACAACACCCAACGCTATCGCCTTATTCGATCCAGAAGTAGGCGAAAGTGGTACGCTCACTCATTTCCTAGGGGACGTACGACCAGGTGGCGTCACCCAACTCCTTTTCCACCCTACTCAGCCGCACATCTTGTTCGCTGCGTCTAGGAGAAGTCCCGTCGTTCAAGTGTGGGATTTGCGAAATCCGTTATGCGTTGCTGCGGAGTTGGATCGATGGACGAGTGAAGGGAAGCTGACGAATCAGAGGTTGAAGTTCGATGTGGATTTGGGGGGAAGTGGCTTGCAGCTGGTGATGAGGTATTGTGTTGTCTTTTCTTTTTCTTTTTTCTATAGATCGTGCATAGTGATTTTCTTGCTAACTTGTTTCCTCGTTAGGCTGGTTGGCTCTCCATATTTGACGTATCCAATGGATTAAGTTTCAATACTGAACCTGTTTTGAAGTTCAGGGCTCACAATGGTGAGTAGAACGGAACGTTTGCGCAGATTGATTTTTGACACATGCTGCAGATGCTATTGGATCAGTGTCATTCCATCCTATTCAATCCTTGGCGTTAACGGTATCAGGCTCGCGACATTTCGACGTTACATCTCCGGCGTTACCCCCTTCCAGGCCAGCTAGTACTACAGATATGACATCCGACTCTGGGAGTGACTCTAGCCTCGATGAGGAACTTGAGAACAATGGAATTATAGTTCATGATCCTACTATCAAGCTCTGGAACTTCTCTCCTCAGTCAACCATCCCGCATTCTCCAAAGTAATGCAAGAATATTATCACTATACGTACGCTTGGATAAAATCAAGTGAATGTAAAAAAAGGGCACCATAATTATCCAAAAAATGCAATATAAGATCATCATGAATCAAATGAAGGCCAAAGACCAGTGCAGAGAAATGGGGTATCAAGCTGGTGAGATTTCATTCTAGTCACTGGCTCAAGGAGATTGGGTCTCCAGAAGGGGAGTGGTGGGAGAAGCATGAGGAGTAGCGGTTTAGATTTGTTCATATTCACTTCATTCATTTTATATTACCTATATTGCTTTTGATGTCAGTTTATTTCCATCACTTTCCTTTCTGTTCTGTGGCCCCATGGACTATTCATTCCTGGACACATGGATTTTCACTTATAGTCCACTGTTTTTCCTTGTATGATACAGAGAACTTCCCCCCTCAGAAGAGGCCTCCCAATTTGCAGTGTCCCTTTGTCTAGAAGATCAGCCATGCCAGAGCATGTCCAGAGAGCAGCCTAGGACTCCTGATGATTGTCCAGAGTGACCAGGAGTGGGTGTTTGTTTTCAGAGATTTTTGTTGATTGTCAGCAGCACCAGGACCATGGCACATTGCCACCCCCCATCACCGACCCTATCCCAGTGCTAGTCCCCCATGTTCTTGTCAGACCCAAGTGCTCCTTGAGCCCAGTTACAATGTGCTGGAATTGAAGAAGTGAAGTATTTACATGTGATTGACACAATTGTTCATGGCCTCAACCCTGCAATTGTCACAGATGATCACCCTAGATGGTCAATCTCTGCTGACAACCTCATCGATCCTGCACCTTGCATCCTTGGAGACATCTTTGCCACATTGACTCATGGTCGATTGTGTAGCCTCCACCTGAACTGACTCGCTGTGTGCTGATGCCAATGCATTGCTGGCTGCAGTTCACTCACACTTCCTGTTCCCTGCTGGCCATGTCAACCCCATTCCCCACACTGGCCACACAATTCTGTGACTCTGGCAACCTCTTTTGACTTTGGCCCCCCACTGTCTTTGATACTGACTTCAATGACTTTGATTCATTGCTGTCATTGTTGAGGCCAGACTAAGTGCTGATCAATTCTGTGTCGTCCAATGTCAATGTGCATGCTGCCAACTACATCGAATCCATCTGCTGTGCTGCCACCTAACACGGACTAGAATGGAATAATACTAGGTGAAGATTTAGAATAAGTAAATGAGTGAACATAATAAAAGGTATACTGACCTCAGTCTCACAGTTGTGAATGCAATGAGAACTGAGGGAGTCAGCGAAGTAAACATCAAGCTTTTAAGCATCAATTACTTGAATGTAACAGGAGTGAGAGTTATTACAAATAAAGGAAAGTGAGGCGACCAACAGGTCAGAAAAAGGAAGATAAATGCTAAATAAACATGGAATTGCTAAAGCATCGAACCAACCATTGCTGTCTTTCAACACCACCACATTGACATTATTCTACCCCCAGCTCCAATGCACTTGCTACATACCTGCATTGTCACCCTCACTGTCGACGCTCCTGTTGACAGTCATTCACCATTGGCTGCAACGTGTCTGCTACATGCTGCGTATTGCAGCTTATTCACAAGCCAACATGACTGGGATACTCCCATGATTGTTTGCACTGTTGCTGCCATCTGCTGCCATGGTCTGCATGCTCCCCAGGTGCCAAACTGTCAGGGAAATAGCCCCGAACCCCAAGCCATATGTAATTACAATGTACATAAAGTCACATGGGTAAGCGGGAACTTCTGTTAACTGCTGTCAGGGCACGCTGCCGCCGCCACCTCCTTTTCCTTTTGTCTCATCCCCTCATTCTCTCTTCTTTCCTTCTTCTCTTTTTCTATCTTTATACAGATGACCTCTCTTTCTTTCCTACCCTTGTAGCACGGATGCATCCAATGCTGAGCACCCCGTAGGGGCACCGCAACGCCGGATGCGCCACGCACTTCTACTTGTACTTCCCCTCCAACACTCGGGATCGACCGCGGAACCACCCACGGTAACCCGGCTTCGTCTGAGGGTGACGTGGCAACCCCATGTGACCCATTCACACATGTATATAAACTAAGCCGAAGCAGGACCAAAGAAGTAACCTTCTTCTCATTTCCCGCTTCAGGCAAGTACCCTAGTTTAGTCTGGCTTCCCACCCTAATAACAATACATTTCCTGCTTCAGCCTAAGAAGCCACGCAGGGACGTAAGCCCGAGTAAGGGCTATCCACTATACTCACCGCCCCGCTGCCATCCGGGCCGCTAGCACCGAGCGTTACGCTGCTACCTCTGCCTTCCTCGAGCCGTCCCTGACAACTGCTTACACACACTGTAGAATACATACCATTGTATCACTTATGGCCTTGTGTGCTGAGCGACCCCACTGAGACCTCACACTTTTTAAATGTATGAGGTGTGTTTTACAAAAACACAACCCACACAACTTTATTGCAATGTTTTAACAATCTGACTCGGTAGCACCAATGGTGCCAAAACACGCCCACAAGGGCAAGGTCGCTTCTGCAGTGACATAAAAAAGAATGAGCAGTTTATAAAGAAACCACAAACTCCCATTATGGGAGATTCAAAACAACAGCTGTCATCAGATGATGATGAGGATCAACATGATCCAGAAAAAACAACCACTTCAGGGCTGGTCCCTGAGGTTTTTAAAAACTTATGTGGAGTAAGTGCGGGGCCCAATACCCCTAGAACTCCACATCACATTGATCTCACCTAAGTTGGGGAAGATCTCTTGCCTCCAGAGGAGGTGATTGACTTGTGTGATAAACATGTAAGCACCAAACAATCAGCCCAAAAAGCTGATTGGATACAGTTGCAGGAAACTCCAGGGCTCCACTATCCCCTGGAGTCTTCCCCCATTTCCCCAAGTCAAGCCCCAAAGGCAGACAAAGGGAAACAGAGGGAAGAACCTCCATGTCAGCTATCCAACAAATTACTGGACTTGTTCCAGGTTCCATCCAAATGGAGGACAGGAAATGAAGAACAACTTCTTCTCAGGCTAAAGGCCCAAGAAGGTGCAAAGGAACACCCTGAGAGCAGGATCTCTCAGAGCATGGAAGCTCAAAAAGAACTTCCGCTGTCTGCACAACCCCATGCCATGAGAGTTCACTGAGGAAGCCTTATGGAAAAGTAAGGAAAAATCAGCGAACAGACTCTTCCATGAAAAGGAAGTGCCCTCTGCAAACAAACAAAGCGAGCGTGGAGTTTACACTCCAAGAACCCCTTCTGGAACTCCCAGAAGTGGCAATGTTAACTAGGGAGAGTGTAAGGGATGGACAGGGATGGGATGATGCATGCTTTGCGTGCATTTCCTTTATTCTTTATTTCTTAATATTCCTCGCAATAAACAATGTATAACAACTGTATATACATATATAGTGTCCAGGGTTGGGAAAAGGAGCTTTGCTCTTCTCCTCCCCCCCTGTCAAATACTAGCTTCATACAGTCTAGAGGATTGAGGAGTCACCAAGGCTGGCACCCCAACCAGCCTTACAGAGAGTCACTACTTGCCCAGCCCAACTTCCTCCTGGAAAACCAGGAATTGCACATAATAAACACGATAAACTTGATCCAAAAAAAGATTGAGGAAATGAGCCACAACAGCACAGCTCATCTAGAGATAACTCTAGAAAGAATGGCTAATGTGATCGACACATTGACTAACAAGTTCAGCAAGCAAATGGACTTGCTGAAAGAACTAAACTTCTCACAAAATAGTGAGGAAACAAGAAAATATCCCTGGTCCATGGGCCAGGAAAAAAAACTCGTGAAAAATTCATAAAAAGAACAACCAGTGAAAGCACACTGGATTACCACCAGCGACTCGACAGAGATGCTAAAGAAGTCCTTCTCCCAAAGATAGGAGAAGATGATGCTGAAAGAAGGCATTGTTTGGAAATCAGGAGAAGGATCGGCACATACCAAAGGTTCAGCCAAACCTCCTTCACTGATGAACCTCTTGAACAAAGAGGTAATAATCCACTCTCTCAATGGAATGAGAAAATTTATATCCAGCCTTGGGTGCAACCACCTGAAACAAAAGAACCACTGAGAGAACAGTCTCTCCCAGTGAAAAACCCCCCAAAGGAGGAATCTCCATTGGACAGTGACCCTGCTAAGGCAGGGGAACAAGAGGAGTACCTGGAAAAATGGTACGAACAGGCCACAAAGATGGCTGAAGTAAGAATACTCACTCCATACCTGGAGGCCCTGAAGAATGGCGTGGCTTTCCCTGACAAGAAATGGTCAGGGGAGAACAACATGGAGTCGTTCTGGCAATGGTTCACAGAATTATTGGGATTCCTTGCCTTGCGAGGATGCAAAGGCCCCCAGTTCGATGAAGTCCATTTGGACTGCTTAATTTGTGGACTAGGGGGACCCACATTCGACTTCAGAATAAGACTCCAAGATGAAACTCTCCTCAGAGGAGACAAGGGCATGTTCCTTGAAGTTCTCAACATACTGATGAGAACTTTCATAAAAGCATCTGCTGCGTTAAATGTGACAAAGAAATACCACAATGTTAAATACAAAGCAGAGAAAGGTTTAAAACAGTTCTACTTAGAACTGTCCAAAGCAGCATCCCAGATGGTGATGCCGCCAGACCAGGCATCCTTCAATGCCAGGTTCCTAAACAACATTCCCCTTGAATGGAAGAGGGAAATGATCGCTCATGACAGAATCAGAGCAGACTTCTCCTCAAACAAGGAGATGATAAAAGCAATATCTTGTGTAGACAAGATAATTGACGGGCTGAAGATGTCTTCAGCATACAAATCAGGTTACTACACCCGAACAACTACCATGGCAACCACAAGCTGTGGTAGAACCCTCCCATCAGGGAAAAGGGCTGGGGGGCCCAAACCCAGATGGAAAGAGGACTCATGCTCGAAATATTCGAGGAAAACTGACCAAAAATCAGTTCCAATTTGCAGCAAATGTGGCAAAATAGGGCAAACAAAAGATTGCCCTAAACATCACATCATAAGCGACAAAAAACCAAGGTGCATAGCTGCCATGGAAGTCGCCCATCTATCAGAAGAAGAGTCGGAGGACTCATTGGAAGATAAACCAGAGAATGACTCTGGTGACTCTGAAGCGTCAAGCTTCAAAGTAGAGGACCCATACGAGGGACCTCAATACTCACCTGATTCAGAGGGTGAGGAAGTTAACATTGGAACCATAAGGATGGGCCCAATGTCAGTCATTGTCAGGGCAATAGCCCCGAACCCCGAGCCACATGTAATTAGATACATATAGTCACGTGGGTAAGCGGGAACCTCTGGGTAACTGCTTACACACTACCATAAAATACACACATTTGTCGAAGCATCAAGCTTCGAAGTAGAGGACCCATACGAAGGACCTCAATACTCACCCGACTCAGAGGGTG